GACCAAAACAGAAAAAGTTCAATAACTCATTATTTTTTGAGATTTGATCATATGCGTAGAACAATTTTTTACTTCAAAAATGATCTTCTATCGCCCCTTAAATTGTTTGCACTAAGGAACCGAATACCCTGTTTAAATGAAAATTGCAAGTATTGAGCAAAAACCCCTTGATAACTTAAAAAAATTAAACTCAAAAACGTAAAAAACACATAGCTAAAAAGGCTTAATTTTTCATGGAAAAAACATGATCATCTTTAACATGTTTCATTTAATATTTTGATATTTGATATCGGCACAGTGGTTCAAAAGTTAAAAATAATCGATTGTTTGGACCACCCTAACATGGAAATGGTCACCCCAATAAAAAATACGGGTCTAATAAATAAAACGGTTATCTTCCATTTAATTCCACTTAATTAATTTTGGTATGCATGACAAATATGTATTTTGACTACAATGTGCAGGCTTCATCAGTGTCATTCCCACTAAAGAACTTATCAAAATCTAACCCCCTTAAGTACTCATTCCCTAGGTAAAAAAGTCAAGATCATAGGTATAAAAATGAAACTAAATGTGTTGAATCGGAACCTACATAACTAATAAAAACCAAAGATTTGAGTAAACTAAAGGAGAAAAATCGATACAACTCTCTAATAAGGAAAATTCCAAAGGCTTGGTAGCCATCATAATGAAATAATGAAATTGGGTTGTTAGCGGAATGCTTAAAAAAACAGCAAAAAAAAAAGTTATCTTCCATTTAATTCCACTTCATTAATTTTTGTATCCATGACAGATACGTATTTCGACTACAATGTGCACGTCAAACGTCAACCAAACCGTTTGTTTACATCAGAATAACTATTTTTCACAACGCAAATTAAAGCATTTTTCATTCAACATCTTACCAATTTCTATCGGTAATTGTCTTATTGTGCGATTTTCCACAGATCTGAACTGATTTGTAGCTTAACTATCCACACATAGGAAATCCGGAAGATCATAACCACTAAGGCTCTTTTCTAATTGTCCATTTTTCGTAACAAAAATATTCCTGTACACCAGCAGGATGTTTGCAAAAACGTTACAGAATTAAATTTTTTAACTATAGATTAAGTTTTGGAGCATCTCAGATGAATCAATTTATCAGGAAAAGTAAAAAAGTGTTCCACTTCCTATGTCTCAAGGCAAAAATTTCTGCTCACAACACTCTTTTCGACGTTCTCCTATTCACCACCAGAGGTTGAATCGATCGTTTAGTTCCCATTAAAAAGGCCTATAGGCTCTTTTCATGCACCACTAATGTAGAGTGCGCTAGCCAATTTTTAAAGAAAATGTCATCCAATCCATTTTTTTTACATCATAATGACGTTTTTCAAAACTCAAAACAATGTACATTTTATTGCACAACTTGCAAATTTCCATCGGGAGTGGTCGTATTTTTCGATTATCTACAAATCTGAACTGATTTCCAGCTGAAATAACAACACATAAAAAATCCGGAAGATCATAACCGTTGGGACAATTTAATAAATCTTAATTTTTCTTATCAAAAACATATGGAAGCACCAGTCGGATCACTGTAAACCCGATACATAAAACAAAATATTCCACGTGGATGATGATTTCAAGCACCTGCGGTGGATAAATTAATCAGGAAAGGTGAAAATATTGTCCTCTTCCTATGCTTCACGGTGAACATTTCCACCCTCATCACTCTTTTGATCGTTCCCCTATTCACCACCAGATGCTGAAACGATCGCTTAGTTTCTACTGGATTCGCCTATAAGAAAATCATCCAAAATTCAAATGCATATTGTTAAAGGGCTCGAGCAATGCAATAATCATTCGAAGTATTGCGGATGTTTTGGATCAGTGTATAGGCCTTTTTAATGGGAACTTAACGATCGATTCAGCCTCTGGTGGTGAATAGGAGAACGTTAAAAAGAGTGTTGTGAGCAGAAATTTTTGCCTTGAGACATAGGAAGCGGAACACTTTTTAACTTTTCCTGATAAATTGATTCATCTGAGATACTCCAAAACTTAATCGACAGTTGAAAAATTTAATTCTATAACGTTTTTGCAAACATCCTGCTGGTGTAAAGAGATATGTTTGTTGCGAAATACGGAAAATTAGAAAAGTGCCTTAGTAGTTATGATCTTCCGGATTTCTTGTGTGTGGATAGTTAAGGACGCTGTAGAAAATTACCCATTGGGTATATTCTCTTGAAGATTTGGATAGACGTAGTTTAAAGTGCATTGTTTACACTGCACGGCGAATGAGAATGAGACAAATTTTACACATCGCTGAGTTCCTGCACTTTTGACGATTATGAGTGAACTAAACTCAAATTTGGGTCGTTCTCATTCGCTGTGTGTATTTTTTTTATCGCTGTCAGTTTTTCGAAAGTTGGAAAAAATGGCGTCACCCGAAAGCACACTTCGCGAGTTGATTTTGGGCAAGCACCTGGAAAATCCTCAACTCTCTCATCGGAAAACAACTCGGAATCGTGCAGTCAATGGTGAGTCGTTTGATTAAACGTTACTGCAAAACTCTGAGCATCAAAGGAAGGAAAAATTCGGTAAGAATGGATGATCTATTAGTGATCAGGAACAGGATCACAAGCGTGTCATGAAAGCGTTTAAGCGGAATCTCAATGCTTCGGTCAGGGATGTGGCCAAAAAGTTGAATCTGTCCAAGTATTTTGTTCAGAGAGCCAAGGACCGGGAGGGACTGCATACGTACAAAGTGTAGAAGGCTCCAAATCGGGACGAACAGCAAAATACGGTGGGAAAGTCAAGGGCCGGTGTCATAAGACAATCTTCATTCCCAAAATCTAACACGTTTCCACATTCTTAAACAAACATTCCTTTCAAGTGTTTCTCACGAACCACTTTGACTAAATTCGTTTATTATGCAATTTCCCAGAACCATCAATAAATCAATTGCACCATTCTGTGTGCATATTACCGAGCGGTCCCACGCTAGCAAGAAGATCAAATTACAGACCTACGTGCAGCCTGGAACTCTGCTTCGAGAAGCAACCTTTAGCACATGTTGCACTCCGTACATTTACATAACCAATCATATACCGATCGAGGAGTCCAGGCACCTTTTCCATACATACACTTTTGTAGAATTATGTAGAGTTAGGAAACGCATAGCTAGAAATAGGTTTTCTTAAATAAAGACGAGGAGTTGGTATCTGACCACCAAATTTACCAAATTTGACATTATCATGAACAGAATCCAGAACTCGTGAAGAGTTACACCGGAAACTGTACTCCCAGATGCTGACTCATGGTCTCATCATGGATAATGAGACTTACGTCAAGGCGGACTTCCGGCAGCTTCCGGGGCTACTATTCTTCACCTCAAGGAATGTCTACAGAAGCGTCTGCTTCCTCTGTTGAAGCAACACAAGGGCTCTACGACCTTCTAGCTTCGTGCCACTATTAAATTTTGTCATGGAGTGGTACGAAGCCAACGGGCTCACTTTCGTACCTAAGGATATGAGCCTCCCCCTCCAACGCACCGGAGCTAAGGCCCATCGAAAAATACTGGGCTATTATGAAGCAGGCACTATGGAAGCATCCCAAGGAGGTCAAATCTGAGGAAGACATGAAAATAAAGTGGGTTTCCGTAAGAAGCTGCAGCAAGATGTTGTACACAACCTAATGAGTGGAGTTAAGCGTAAGGTGCGAGCGTCCGTTTATGGGACTGAAGTTGAATGAAATAAATATGCCAAAAGCTTACTGATTGGTTATATTTTATTGTCTGAAAGTTTGAAAAGGATCGGTCAACTAGGAAACTTTCTACAGCGTTTTTTCCGTGATGCAATTTGATGTGGGACACCCTTTACTTTGAAGGATTTTACACCGGTTTTATATATGAAATGCATTTTAATTAGCGAATTTTCACTCCAGTTACTGTAAATAAACATTATTCAGTAAGTACCTGCTCATTGGTTGTACATGTTTGTAACCTTATTTTGAATGGGATAGGAACTGAATTTTGATATATGAAAATTGAAATCAATTAGCATCTACGTCAATAATGCGTTCGTGCTTGGGACACAACCCTTAACCTTTTTCCACAAAATTTCAGGTGGATTTATTTCTTGGTGTATCTTTGTTTTTTAGTATACACTATCCATTTTGGAAAACAATGCAAGAGGTTAGCTGAACGCCAACAAAAACAAAACGATCATGATCATGAGGTGAAAACAGCACGCTAATGAATGACAATGTCTATCATCATGTATGATGGCGTATTCAAATAATAAATATACAACAACAAATAACAGTTTGCATTTTCTTGGATACAAAACTGATGATCTACCTAATGTATAAAGTTGAAGCAGCTACTCAGTGTTTGCTTAAGAGAAGCAAGTATCGAGTTAAAACTTCAGATCTGCACGGCTTCTGAATGATGAGATTAGTGCCCCTGGTAAAACAGTTGATACTTTGCTGAATCTTGTACTTAATGCTTACTGCTCAAGTGTCGAAAAACGTTATTTTGATTTACGTTCAAATTTGCAAGCACCTTAACCTCATGATCGTTATCCATCGGGTTGCAACAAAACGATATAAGAAAAGGTTTGCGCACCGGTGCGCGGCGCCACCCGACAGTGGCCAGTTGAGTGGATCACGCACCGGCAACTTTTGTTTTCTCCATCCATCCATTCATTCATCTATCCACCTCCGAAAAACAGAAAACCTTCAAACTCACGTGAGTTTTCGAGAAGGAACATTCAAGAGAAAGAGCGGAAGGAAGCATTAATATTATTAGAAGAGCTATGCGCGCGGCGCTTTGGTTGGTTTAATGCTGCCTCGAGAGAGTGCCGGAGCACACCGGTAGGTATTTTGGCTAGGTGAGTGGGTGGAAGCGACGAAGAGTCCCGAAAAAGCAGAAAAATAAACAACACCACATAAGACACATAGGCAGGCCGTCGTCGGTTCCGTTGGTTCCAAGCCAATTTCGCGAATCTCCAATCTCAGTCTGATCGCAGAAATCGGCGCGAACGGGTGGTGTACCAGAAACAAAAAATAGAACGAAACGGCACCAAATCGGTTGGTATCGGAATAGTTAAGAAGAGATACAGAACTTAAGAAAACTTGACAGTATTCCAAAGTTTGATTGACAAGTGATATACGTAGCAGCTTAGGAGGAACCGAGGAACATCATACACACACAACACACAGAATGGCGGTAATGATTTGTCATACACAATTTGTTTCGTTCCGGTGATGGGTGGTTTGAGTTACGATTTGTTTCTAAATTGAGACGTTGGTTTTGGATGTTTGTTGTTAGAGTTAGTGGAAAACGATTAATAGAGAAACATTTGATGTTTGCTAGAATAAATCATTAATTTCAACTCGATTTTAAGCAAGCCATCATATGTTTGCAATATTGATATGTTTGTTTAAAGTGTTGAACTTTTTTCATCAAAAACCATTGATCAAATTTCTTCAATATAAAGTATGAAATACAAGTGAGAATAGAGAAGAGATAATTTGAAAAATTCAGTTTTCGAATTTTCTGGTGACTTTTTTAAAACTCAAGTTTTGACAGAGATATTAAATTCTGAAACACTCCAAAAGTACATAACTGCTTTTATATTGCTGAAAGACGCCATTTAGTGCCATCACGAGTTTCCTATTTGAGTAGTGACAATACAAGTGCCGATAATTTGATCAATGACAAAAATTCTATTTTAATTTGTGTAGCTCATTTCCTGGGCAAATGTCCTATTTTCAAAAACAGCTACTGAATAGCAAATTTAGGTACAGTCGAGGCTAGTATAAAATCTATAATATTCATCAAATTTTCAAGTCAAGCTGCCAGTGTCGATGAACTGTTTGGTTCATATGCAGTGATGCCAAAATTTCGGAAATAATTTGAATATAAAAATTGCTATAATAGAACATAAAGGATTTTTCGATGATATTAGATCAGTTTTCCCATATTTATTTTTGGTAGTTCACTAAACCACATGCTGGTTAAATGTGATGGAATCTTATTAAAAATATTCCAAAATCATTGCAGATGGCAACACTGGTTGCAAGATCTGTAGGCGTTTTCCAACAATTGCTTTCTCATTTCATGCATTTTGACGTTTCACTGCAATCGGCAATAATGGACTTTTTTGACGTTTGGGAACTGCACAAGTATTAGTGCAGAACTTTGGGTAAATTATACGTATTAGTGCAAGAAAACCTTTGAATTTACCCAAAGATCTGCACTAATATTTCTGCAATTCACAATCATCAGAGAAGTCTACAGCAAATTGTTGCTGTACGATAAAATATTTCAAGAATGAATTTGCAAATAGATGTATCTTCTTTTGTAAACAAAGCTTAAAAAATCAATTGATCGAAATTTTTAGCTCGTCCACGCAACATAACAACCACCATCATCAATGAAAATTCATCGTAAAATAAGCCTTGCTCTGCTTCATGGACTAAATGTGGCTCGAATATTAGTCAAACTTATTCAAGTTCGAGCAGAGTTTTCTAGTTTTTCTCAGTTTTTATCCTCAGATTCGAGCGAAAGTTGAGTAAACGGAACTCAATTTTGATATGGCGAGTGAGGGTGTGACAGAGCTTAGTTGTTCAGGTGTTTGTTGAAGTTGATCAAACTAAAATCGGTTAAGGTTTTCGAATTTTCTCTGAAGTGTAAAATCATAATAAACACAAACATTTTGTTCTGTTATAAGCAAAATACAGGAATCCTACATGTTTAAAGGGACAAACTCTTGCAAACTCCATGATCTATCGAAACAAAAGAACTGTATTAAATATCATAGGATGATGTGTTTCAATGAAAATATTATATCTGATCAGGATTATTTCTGATATATACTAACACTAGCATAATGGAATGACGGAATATTCAAGAAAACCAACATCGCTTACGCCTGCCCTCATGTAAATCAAGATAAGCCAGGCCAGTGCAAGTCATACAATCTTCTTCTTGTTCTTATTCGCATTTCAACTCAGTGTTCTAAATGCACTTCCACTGTTATTAATTGAGAGCTTTCGATGCCAATACCAATGCATGAATAGAGTCATACAATTAGACCAACTAATCATTCGAACCAGCCTTTTCGGAAAATTCCCTCCGAATCCAAACTCCATTGAGAACCTAAAAGCTTCATCTCATATCCAGAACAACATGTGAAAAGGGCATACAAGCTTTTTGTAAACAAACCTTCTTATGCCCTTTTCTCGCCACCCATATGACACCAACGCAAACCTTTAACATCACCGGGTAGGGGACACTTTCCCCTTCCCGATGATATTGCTGGTTTGCGTGAGCGACCCTCGATTGGTGAGAAAAGGGCCTACAAAGGTTTGTTTACAAAAAGCTTGTATGCCCTTTTCACATGTTGTTCTGGATATGTTATACATACGAGATGAAACCCTAAAAAGAATGATGAGGGCTGAAATTTTCGCCGGGAAGCATAAGAAGAGGAAAATGTCAAATGGATGATGAAAACAATCTCGCTATTTCTGAAAGAACGGATAGGCTACATTTTAGTATATTCACGCTAGGAGTGATGTTCTCCGTGAGAAGCTGAGCTCCGATATCTTCGTATCCTGCTTCCGATCACTGACTTCCTTCAGAAATGTTGGTACTTCACTCCTCACCGGGTATTATGTGTAAGAATTCAAATTTAAATACGTTAGAAACACTAGCGCCGCCATACGGAATGTTGTGACTCGAGTTATCACTTTTTGCGATTAATGATTAAAGTGAACTGAAATTTGGGTTGATCTTTTTGACCGTGTATCCAAATGAACTGTCAAATCAGTTCAAAACAAACAAGACAAAGCAACGAAAATTAATCGAGTTTCTGCGGAACCATTATTTTCGAATAAAAAACTAAGCTTTTTTACAGTTTCCTGTAGATCTACAAACGTTTTTCGTTCCAATTTAAACTGGGCATAGTAGTCAGGAGCCAAATTGACTTTTCTTGCGTTTACTGGCGGCGTATCTTCGAATAATTCAGTAAGGGTGTGAACTCCAATTAGCCCTCATTTAAATTCAGAAAAATGTGGTAAGATTTGAGCACTGCTTACCCTGCATCCGTTCTTCCAGGAATTCGAAAAGCCTCCGGGGGAAGTGGTCGGAACATAACTTTTTCGTTGTAAGCGCTTGAACTCAACGTGAGAAAAAAATCTCTTGTAGTTCGGGCAATTCAACATCCTTAGGAAAATTGTGAAAAGATTTTCGCTTGGTAACACCTTGTTTATTTGCGCACCAATAAAACTCACACTTGCAGCCCATGTTTTGATCGGTTTTAAACAAACATTGATTTGCTCACAACAATTTTGATATTTATGTTAATATGACGTCTGCCGGTCATGGACGTCGATGGGCAGCGACACTAGCGCCACCACGATATTGCTAGTTTCAAATGTCTATTCTAGTTTCAAACTGCTATAAAATAGCAGTTAAATTTCTTACAAACCTTAGGAATTTGGCTTGGATTTCTGTTCCTCTCTGTCCTTAATTCTTCCTTACTTGCCTTCACGGCCACTTCAAACCAAGATTCATCGCCCTTCTTTTTTCATTCCTTTTTCTCCTCCTTCTGACCGATCTGCTGGGATGGAACTTCTTCGACGTCCTTACTTTGCGAATCTTCATCCGCCTAGATATCTTAGATTTATAACTGATTAGTTGGACGTTGGAAGTATCTGTTCGGATCTCGGTTTGGATTGAATTTGTTGTCCATGTCGTACTAGATGATCTTGATGCGCTTAAGCACTTCATCAGCTGGACACATCTCAGTTTTTCACGGACTTACAATGATTTTGAAAAACGAATCTGTGCTATGTTGTCAAGCAGCTGTCCTGTCACAATGTAATCGAGAACAAGTTCGACAATGCGAATTTTTCGTCTCTGTTGTTCTTATGTAACAGTGAGTGTGCCGTCAAAATCGTTGTTATTTAGAAACAGTGGGAGAATGAAAAAGATTGCAAATTCACTTTGCCAGACGACTTCTCCATGACATTGGGCCTGTCACCGATATATGTCACTATAATTAGAGATTTGATCCGATAGTTTAGAGGTTTGATCGATGAAAACGGAATTATTCATTATTGCTAGAGATTTAAGAGCGTTTATATCGGATAAAATGGATTTGATCGAATATAATTCAAACCAGTGTTGGGAAAATATCAGACATCAAATCTCAGGAAAGAAGAAGATCACGCAAAAATCAACATGCAAACAACTACAGTTGATATTTTTCTTACTTTGATATCACAGCTCGGAATATCAAGCTAACAAAACTCACCAACTGCAAACTATGGTGCAATTGAGTTTCATGATTTTTGCTTTACACCAAAACGCAACCAAAACATCCTTAACGGCTGGTAGCAGTCGCTTCGTGTCTGCCAACGTTGAAGAGAAAAGCGAGATAGCATTATTATACCTTCACTTTCTAAGAAAACGAGGTGCAACGGAATAATTTTTGCGTCGATTCCACTATCAGCTTCAATTATACAGGTTTATTCAGATCTGAGTGTGCATTAGCGGAGTGGAGCAAATTTTGCTTTGGAATGAGAGAGACAACTATTACTTCTCTCCCTCTCGTGCCTTCGCAACATCTTGCCCCGTGCGTGAAATATCGCTCAGGACGGAATTCACCTTACACGTGGTGAATAGGCTCTTTTCATGCACCATCAATTGGCGTTGACGGCACCGTCGAAAAATTTGCTCTTCCAGCAAATTTAGACAGTTTCTTATGGGAATTTTCGCTGGAGTGAAAGGATAGTACAAAGTCAGCCATGTTTCACGCACAATCTGACGTTTGCTTATGGATTTTCTCATAGGAGTAAAGAGCTACAGAGTCGCCGTCAACGCCGATGTAAAGTGCGCTAACCGATTTTGAGAGGAAAGGTCATCCAATATGCTCTTTTCATGCACCATCAATGTAGAGTGCGCTAGCCGATTTTGCGAGGAAATGTCATCCAATCCATTTGTTTACATCGTAATGGCGATTTTCAAAACTCAAAATAATGTTCATTTTATTGCACAACTTGCAAATTTCCATCGGGAGTGGTCTGATTTTTCGTTTATCTACAGATCTGGACTGATTTCCAGCTGAAATAACCACACATTAAAAAGTCGGAAGATCATAACCGCATAAATCTTAATTTTTCTCATCAAAAATATATGGAAGCACCAGCCGGATCACTGCA